GGGTGTTGTCTAGCAAGAAAAATGAAAGGTGTCAGAACGATAGGAGGCCTCAAGCTCGCCCCTTGATATCCAAGTACGAATTCGTTTCGATTCCCAACGGAAAGGAAGAGTCGGTAACTGATAGCGATATGAATAATTGCGTTGACAATGGGACGAAATATATATACGGTGGCGCATTATCTGCCTGCTGTGAGTTATAACGAACTTAGCCAACCCTGGCAAGGTTACCGCGTTAAGGGTAGATTTTATCGCACGATGGAACTGTGAAATGACTGATCGCCACAGGGTCATTGGGTTGGAGCTCGGAGTTAGATTGCATGGAAAATCATGCCCGCGGTAGGTCGATAGGTAAAAGTAAGGAAACGCGAAAAAAGGTGTATCACGGGAAAACCAATCAGTTTGTAAATCATCGATTTGATACGGTCAGCACTGTTTCTGATCGTTTCGGTATAAAATCACTTGTTTGCGCATCGATGAACTCCGAATCGATCCTTCGATTTACTAAGCAATCGGACATCTCGTCACTTCCTCTTAAGATCATCGGATTTAATTTAGATAATCATTCCCACGGGTTTTTTTTTTCAAAATTTTTGACACGCTCACCTGCAGCTACTAAGGAGCAATGTTTTTTTTTTAATCGTGAATGAAAATATCAATGACGCCATGTTCGTGATTATTTTTTTTGGCTTTGTTCGTGGGAATGCAATATTATTATTATCTTCGTTTCTTCTCGAATTTCTAAACGTCACCCATCCCCCGTATTACAATGTATTGATGCGCAGACGAGCGCTGTCCCTTGCTACTCGCTACGAATTTCTCGAGGAATATTTTTTGGGGGGTTTGAAAAATGCCGCATCCAATTTCCCTGATGATGTCCCCCAGGGACATTCCCCTATTCTCGTTCGATACGTTTTTCTCCGTTTGCGTGTGGGTAATACGTGATACTCTTTCAACCCCTCTGCTACAGGAACAGCGGTACCACCGGTGGCAGCCTGCCGAAGACAAATAGTGTAGCAGATAACTCGGCACTCATTACCACAACCTGAGAGTGATTGACGTGTCTCTTTGGTTTACGTAAATTTAGAAAATTAACACGTTCTAAACTGGAAAAAGTCTTTCACACCATTTTTCCAACCCTTTGACTGACATCCTGATTATTTCCAAAAGCACGCTTGTCTTCCACGACCAGACAAGAACGTATTTTAAAAATTTTCTAAAAAAAAAATAACCATTAACACAAGTTACAGTACGAAACGTATACCTAGTCTACAGTGATTACCCTAGCGATTATCATCCCCTATTAAGCACCTCTCCAAAAGACAGCGGCAACCATGCGTCTTCGCTAACGTCTCGAGCAAACTTCAGTGATGAAATAGTGAATTTCATGCGAAACTTAACAAGACGTATGTCACAGGACTTCCGGTGCCCCGGGACACACTCCTGCTGGGAGGTCCGTTTGAGGATATGCGTGACATTAAACTCGGCCGCGAAACTTAGCATAGAGATTCTTGGTCGAACAATGAGGTGACAAATATCTTCGTCCATTGCAGATCCAAGCAGCGGGAGCCACGTTGACTTAAGCCGGACATCAGTTATACGCACAGGGGGATGAAAGCTGTCCCGGCTCAGTGACCAGGGCTCGTCTTTCCTAGGCTGGATTACTGTTTAAGGAAACTATTAAGTACCGGTTTACCTACCCCTTCGCTATGTAAAAATTAGATTGCACTTCGGATCACTTCGCTCACTGGCCATCCCTGTCGTTCACGTGGGAACACGTTCTAACTTACATATCCAGGATCACACATAGGTGGAGTACTGAAAGAGTCAAGACGAGCTCACGGAATCCGACGAATCGCTTAACCACGCTCATAAATAGCAATATCTGTCGGTTATCGAACGAGACGCCAGTCTCGTAACGAGCCATCAGCGAGCTCTGCCAGATGGGGCTCGATAATCCCGAAAGGGTTAGGTATCCCGCCTGGGGATGATTTGCGAAAATGCATACCTACTCTGCATTTTGGGCGAACTGAAAATGAAAATCACTCACGGCTGTGCTATAAAATTTGATATCCTTTTCACTGGGTTTTCGTTTGCTTGATACGGCCTTGACGTATCCCGCTTCCCTTGTCCGTCATCTTGTACGCCGCTTCCGCCCTCGTAATGATTCACGGAAGACGCTGAATTCTCAACGTCGAACCTTAAGCCGACACGATGTTAATTAGAATGGCGTCTCGGAGCGCACTTAGCCCCAAGAGACTTTGTGACTTGACTTGATTTCGAGGTTTTAGGATGGCTTTGAATTAGGGGTGGCTTCGTGAGCAACCCTGGCAAATCCCGTAGGAAGTTAGCACGGATTACCACGGGCATCCATCACCCGTTTCTTTCGAGTTGGGCGCGGGGTGTAAAGTGGAGGATTCCAAACGCAGAGGGTGGATGTGTATTGTCCGTGAGTGTTCGGTGGGATTAGGGGTTGATTTTAAGGATCTCCTCGAGCAGCAAAACAACCACGAATTCTCATAAGAAATCCATAAAATTTTAATTCCTCCAATCTTGAGCCAATCATTCGCGTGAATACGGGCTCATTGAGTGTTAGAGGGTAAAAGTGACTAGTGATTTTCAAAAATTTTTTTTTTTCACAAAAAAAAGTGTTATTAAAAAGTACTTGACGATTACGGGGGCGTGATTTCAGAATAATATCTCATAATTAAAGCGAAGCCCGTGGCGGACGAAGTATCAGTCAGACTTAACGGAACGATCCGTCAACCCTGTAGATGGGGTTGGAAAATCTCAACCCTTTTTGGGCGTACACGTGACCTGACAGCCCGGTGATGTTGGTAACCGGCACGTGACCCCCAGCTTGTGTTTTAGCTACGCGTGTCAAATCCCAAAACGGATCTCGTCCCCGCTTCCACCTCCTGTAAGTTTTCCCGGCTCTCTTTGACGTATCCTTCTTTTTTTGTCTCTCACTATTTTTTTCCCCACCATCATCTTCCACGGATCGATGACGTCACAGCGGTGGCTGCCGGTCTTGAATTAATCCAACGCACTCCTTTCGTATGTAAATTTTTCAAAAGATAATCCACGTCTCCATTAAAGTCGACCGCCCGACAATGCGACCTGGAACTTTACGAGCAATCCCAAGGTACAGCGACGTGCGCGCCACTAATTCTCATTCTCTTAGTTTCTTTCTTTCTTTTTCCTTCATTCCGGAGGTGACGTCACGAAGTCCAGGCCAGTCGTGCCAGGAGAATCGCGGAAGACGCGCACACGTTAATGGCCTCGTAAAAGTTAACGACAATGTCCTCTTACGATTTTCTACCGTGACTCGTATAGGTAGTACAAACCGGTGGAAACTGCCCCTTAAGAGTGACTGGCAAGGGTGTGGAATTTATTTAGACTCCACGTAGCTGCTATAAGAAAGTTCTAAAGCACTTTCTCTTTATTCGACAGCCAAGTTCCTCTCTATTGGTCCGTACAGGCCATGCCTGTTTTTCTATGGGTATAAAGGTTATGGTTATGTCGGTACCGTTGGCTAATTGGAAAAGGCGGGAGAATTCTAAAGGATTTGAATTTAGCGTTCGACAGTCTGATAATTGGAAGTACGCTTAGCATATTTCCTGTTCTAATCACAGACACCAGTCAGTGAGTGAGGGGTGCTTTAAAATCTCTAGCACGGCTCATCCGTACCGGCTCCTCCGGGGTTCCCGTCTCGGGCTCCTCGCCCTTGTTGTAGCGAGATAGAGCTTAGGGTGAGACCAATCTGCTTACAACCCCCTTAGCCTGAATAATTAACCGGGGGTGCACGCGACTTTTTGCCCGTGTCATTTATTACGAAACCACCTTGTTCGTTAACTTCGGAATTTGAATTTGAATAGCCCGCGCAAACTCCACCGAACGTCGAACAGGTACCCGAGCATTTGTTTTCTTTTGATTGATCGTTTCTGCTTTCTTCATAGGCTCGAGTAAACACGTGGAAGGTGCAAGGGATGCACCTTTAACCTCTTCTCCGTTCTATTCCTCTTTTTTTTTCTCGATCTTTTATACGGGAAAATCCACCCCTCGTACCCTTCCTTTGGTTTTCATTCGTCCGACCAAGAACATTCGCAGTGAACTTTCGTTACGGGTACCAAGGGTGTTAATTCTACGTCGTTAGTCACACGTCAAAAGCCTCCCCGTACATGGGAATCCATGGAAAAATTTATTAGCATACGATGGATTCTCATAAAACTGTATTTGCATACAGGCCGCTTCATTTGCCTAAGCCACAGATTCGAACCGTTGGATTCGTCAGGCTGATTTCAACCACTGAGGGATTAATGGCGATTTTGAATATTTAATTAATGGTGCCGCGTATTTAAGGCCACTGCCGCTTTTCCGCCTATCGGATAATTCCATTCGGGAGCGGTACTACTTTTTTTTTTTGCGCCTTTTTTAACATCGAAATTGCGAATTTACGTCGATTTGGTTTTACGCCTCGCAGAATCTCGAGGGGCACTTCAATTATTACGTTTCTTCAAAGTCTGAATGGTATACGTATATATACGGTGTCATTAAAATATTACATTTAATCACAGGGGCCGTTGTCACATTTATTAACATCTCTGAAGCTCAGATCCACTCACGGGTGGCTAGCTGCCTGCATTGCAATTATTATCAATAGGAATTCATTTAATCTTTCGTATATTAATTAATAACGTGCGACCTTAGAGATACAATCTGCCGCCCTTAACGAGGGGCGAACAATGAGCTTCCTATAATCGTTAGGTGTCGTACTTGGTAACCCCGAGTAACCCTTGCGCGACCTATGAAAAATATCGAGTAACGTTCGAACCGAGTAAGAAATTTATTTAAAAAATTTGTTATCAATAAACGCACGTAAGTCTTGTCATTGACGTTTATTAAATACAATTAACTTACGCTCCTGACGATCTCAAGCCATTTGCGCTTTGGTGGCGACGCTCACGGTAACTGAATAAGTACAATCATTTTTCGACCATATACTTGTATAAACCCCAGAGGCAGAAGGGTTAGGGAAGATCATTATCAGAGGCTTAACCACGCGAGAATTTTTAATCAGAGGGTGCGCACCCTCCGGGTAATACCGTCGGTACAGATAAACGGACAACAATTGTCGGTCTAGCTGTGTCTCATTTAACAATTTATTGCTTAACATAAGCGACAATACTTTTACATGTATCGAGCGAAGTAGGTGCTACCCCATGGGATTATATTCTCTATAGCACGGTCGTCGAAACCATTTGGTGCCGTTGGGACTCTTAAAACCAGCTTGTACGACTTTCTATAATTTTCTAACATTGCTTCCAGATATCTGTAATATTTTCATACGCGATATACAAAAGATGTTCATTTCATTTTCAAATTCTTCGTGGGACTGTGTCCTGATAAAAAACGGTCCTGTCAAGACCATTAGGTACCAAGGTCCTCCGGTTCCAACCGGCTGTCCATTCATCGCTGACCCTGGAAAGCACTAAACCAAACGAACCATTCCACGGGGTAGATTTTCGGGTGCTGATTAGCATCATCTTAGAGTCGTATATACCTAGGACCTAAGTGTACCGTTCCCCTTGGCATTCATATGCAAAACTGACCAGATAGTGACCGCTGTATTTGCATAACGTTAGATCGAGCGTGATTTCATTTGGCCGAGGGTTCGAATTCACTGGTTGCGAATTTACAGAAGCCCTCGAGCAACCCCGTAAGGTTTGTCCCGAAGGTGATTTCCAAGGACCTCAATAGGGAAGAGAAGATTGCACGATTCCATATATCCCGTCCAGTTGAACCTGAATTAAATTATCCAGCTTTAATAAATATATACAAAAGAGATTTTCAAACGTTCTACTACAATATAAAGTAATCCAGCACGTAACAGGACTTTGCGCTATTTTAGCCGATTTCAGAGGCAGCAGCTACCGAACCCGAAGTAATCCCTCAAACGATTTTGCCCTTTCGCGGGATGGAATCAATACCTGTCCCACATGCGTAGATATATATATATGTCCATATGTAATCTGCAAGCATGAAGGTGCATATATGCGTGCTAAAATGTAGGGCTAATACGCTTATTCGCTTAGGTCGAATCGCAGAGCCGTGAAACACGGTATTAGTGGATATCAGGATCCTTGATGGTAACAAATGATAGGCCCCACTAATGGTTTGGGACGTTTGACGTCGTATAGAATCGTGACACGGTCTCTGTGTCTCAACGTGTGTCCTTTGATTGATTGTTTTTCTCACTTAGCCACCGTGAAGGCTTTCACGATTGTGAGTCTTAATTACAGGCTTAATTATCCTTTTGCATTTAATGGATCTCGAATTCGTACAGAGGAGCGTTACTGCCACGAGATGGGATTTTGAATTTAAAGTCCTATTCCCTTAGGAACGAAACCGGTGCTTAGTATTATGTTGCTTTGTATATATATGTTGCAGAACGTATATGTACCTATATATATCGTATATATCAATATAAACGGCTATATAGACTGTATATATTCTGTACAGGATACGGGTTACTAAGGCCCCCATAATGACCACTGCAATCCTGCCCCACACAATCCCATAATTAAATCCGTTAATCAAGGCTTACGGTTCGGACTGACCCTATCAACTTGGTTTATTGTGATCTGCGTAAGCTATGCTAAATTAAGATGGACCGATGCTTCTGGATCTCTGTTTTGAGCTACTTTCGAGATTGATCTTGTCTGGTTGCGTTTAAAGATTTAAAAAATCTTACTGAAACCGAATAAGCACGATGATTTATTTTCTCCCGGTACTCCAGTGACGTTTCTTCGTCTTTCTTCTCCTTCCTCGTACTCTTTTCTTTTCTTCCCGACGTTCTCTCCCGTCGACATTTCGACTTTGAAATGACAAGTCGAGTAGCAGTCAGCACGGAATACGGAACGTGGCTCGAGTGTAATTGGCACTGGAGTGTACTCATCTTGGTTCATTAGAGAAAATATCATCCCCATTGTCGAGGGCTTACATAGCCCCGACTCTGTAGGGACAGAATTATTTTTGTTTCGAGTGGATACGGTCACTCAATGGAGATTCCCCTTCTGGCACGCATTGTGAAACGTGGAAACGTGGAAAAGCTTGTGACAGTCTAATCTTCTCAAGTAGAGAAGAGAATGGAGCTTGATGAGAGTAAAGCTCAAGAGGAATTGACCCGAACTTGTCTCCTGGCCTCAAACTGCCTGATGTTACCCATTTCTTTCGCTCCATCCCAGTTGGGCTGGTTCGGATGACCACAGTATAAAACGTATTTACCTAAAACACATATGGATTAATAGAATATTTATATATTGACAAATTCAACTAGAGTTCCAACAAACCTATAGATATATTAATTGATAGCTATTCGTTTCTTAAATTACTGTGACCCAAGGGATAATATTAGTATTTTATTTATAAAAGCTTAAGGGATCGCATAGCAACGGTACGATAACTCAACACGCATAATCTCTGAGCGTTGAAACGAAAAAGCGTCTAATATCTCACGTGGGTCCTTTCTCACAAAAGAATTCACTTCGAAATGGGTTAACGTCTTGCCGGCTACGCCATAGAAGATCTCGAGTAGTGCCGCTATATAATGCGTGTATGCAGTCGTGCTGTAAACGGAACGCAACTTTAATGACCACCATATTTTACCAACAGTGGATTAACCGCAAAACGTTTTCGGGTGGCAGCAACAGTCTTCTCGATTTTTAACAGTGTCAGAGAGAGGAAGTGAGATAGAGAGATCGACGCGAGCAGACTGTCCCGTAGGAATGAGCATACGAGAGGCACGTGGTAGAGACTACGAAGGGAAGAAGGAAGATAGACGAAGAGAGGAGATCCGATTTGAAGAGAAATAAAGTAAAAGAAAGAGAGCGAGAGAGAGAGAGAGAGAGATTCCTCGCGTACTCCCCAAGAGAGTCTCTGCGCGCTCTCGAGATGGAAAGGAGAAATATACGGGCCCGCTTTGTGCACGAGTGGAGTGTGCACGTAGAAGAGGTTCTTCAAAAGACGAGTGCTTACTTCTGCATACCTGCATACTTCAAGTTCGCAAAAGCACCTGTTGAAACTGCACGTTTTTCAAAGTCGCCATTCGCCGTTACGTTACATGTTACGGCATACGTCTTTCTGCATTCATCAGAATCTTCGATGGATTCCATCCACTTCAATGCCTTTAGTTCTGCCGTTCGTGAGTCAACTGAACGAATTGTCAGAGCGCGCTGTGAAAAAGAGAAAAGAAGCGAGATAGATAAATAAAAGAAAGCCAGACAGATCATATATCTAACGTGATACGTAGTAATGCGGTTCCTAACCTCAATGATAAATATCATTTACATGTCTGGCATGAGAAATCTTTTGACGAATCTCCCTCGTACAACGAGCGATGAGCAATTGCGTCTAGCACCTCGTACGTCGCCATACGTATGATCTGCACGCGTGATATGTTTACACCTAGTTCCAGATGAGGGTGGTTAGGTCAGAGCACGGTCGAATGGCTGTTTAAAAAGCACAGGCCCCTACGAGCAAAACACTGATTATTTATAATCGCATGGAGGCACCTGCTGAACCGCGTTCCCATGCGACTTGAAATAGTCTTGTATGAAGGGTTATACGCCGATAAAAAGGAAAGCGCGGCCCGTCGCAAGGTGGTGCATGGCTCGTGGCTAAATATAGTAGGGCACCCATAGCACGTTAAAAAAGTTAAACCACCCTACGGAAATAGCGCAGGAATATGTCTCCCACGATGCCTGCCGTCTACCGAGATAGATAGATAAAGACACTCGTTCTCGCTTGTTCATTCGCCGCGATTAATTTCAAGAGTGGCTACCAGTCGTCTTCCAAATGATCCTTCCCGGTATGGAGAAATGAATGTGTCGAGCTGGGAAAAAAAATCGACATAGTCATATAAATCCAACATTCATGGGTACTGATAAAAAATATAAATCAACTGACCTTAGACCTTGATATGGATTTTATTAGGAGTAAAACCGTCCACGCAATGGCTCATTACCCAATGCATTCTAGTGGACAGCTGAACTGGTCACCCCAATAGTCACAGCCAGAGCTAGGAAGCCATGTGTCACTGGATTCCCTTCGGACCCTTCCTTCGGTCAACTTTCCGTATTATAAAACCATAAAGCATACATATCCCATAGCTAGAAAACGATAGGTTACCTACCCCGTGAACCAGCAGGGCCATGTGTTCGGCATTTACTTTTTGAAAAATTGCTATAGAATCGAGCCACACTCCTCGTCTCGCCCTTTCGTTTAACGTCATTAACTTCTCGCCCTTCGGGGTTGCCGAGCTCTCGAGGCACTGACGTTCACGCACACAGAAAGACGTACGAAGTTGAAGCGTGCAGGAGATGATAAAGAGTGGAAAAAAGAGAGAAATTATAAAAGATGAGAAAATACTCGTACTTTTTGTCACGCGCATGGATCGTCTCAGTGGTTAAAGTGTTTTTAAGATATGATCTTTTTAGGGGATACATGCGGCTGTTACTACCGACGTACAGACTGCTTGGCGACTCCACGACTATCCGACAAGCAATGATAAGGAACTGGCAGGAGACAGGTTTAATCTTCGTGTAGGCAACCCTGATGAAAGCCAGACCCAGCCGGTTGGTTGGTGTCGTTTACCATAATTCGAATCGATGCTTAACGGTGGCTCTGATGGATCTAAAACATGTTAATAGTACACGGTGACTGTTTACCATCTACCACGTATAAAACCCATAAGGGATTGACAAAGGGAAGAAAAGAAATATTCTTCCTTAATGTACCTGATATTAGGAATGATATGCATGTACCTCAGTCATACGTATGTACAACCGTTACATACGTCGAAGGAAGTTAATCCTTCTTGAGCGAAGAAGAAGAAGAATGCTGACCCCCTTAAACCCCTCAATAGAATTAATGTCTAATTGTTGCAGGGCGACATTTTTTTCCACGTCTCAAAGCGCCGCTGCCAACGAAGAATGGTAGCCTTAACTAACTATAGACTTCTTGGACGACATAATCTCTATACTAACATGCGAAGCGAGTGTGTTCTTTGCCGCTAAGTACACATTCGAGCACACTCGAGCCTTCCAAACGCACTCATATACAGAAGTACGGATAGTATACATATATTCTATCTAGCGTACATGGATATGCTATAGGCCATAGTAAGGCTGTATGAAACGCAGAAGTGAGGACGAAAGGCTGGGGGACATGCGTGCGCTCTGATCTTTATGAGTCACCATCATTCAGATAAAAATACCGGGGTGCTTGTACAAACAGTTACCCTTCAAATGTCTTTTAGAACGACGACGCTATTTGGAAAAATGTTCACACGGCGTAGATCAGAAGTATGGACACCTAGAGAGGAGCCTGAGTCATGCGTGACGGTTTGACATATGATCTTTTTTTTTTTTAATTGTGGCTATGAATTTACACGAATAACCAAATCCTACTTAAGGATCTTCGTCATTTTCTTAAGAGCATTCTTCTTCGTCCTCTTCTTATATCTTGTTCGATGGCTGCGCGAAAGTGATTGATGTGGATTTATCGATTATCTCAATATTTACAGCCATAAATCGTTTGGCTTTCGGTACCCTTTGAATTAGTTAGCCGCTACCGTGTATAGATAGCGATTTTATCCGGGGCTGACGCGCGTCTAGAAAAACTTATGGGATTCGAATGGGATTTTTCTATGGCCGTCGCTCATTGGTAAGAATCCTTGAAATTTCTTGCGTGACAACCGGTCGACTAGTCCGGCCATTTGTCACGGTTTACAAAAAGATTTGCGCGACCCTAGTGTTGAGTGTACGCTGTAAATTTTACCCCATGGTTCTTGCTAGTCTCTTACCGAGCTACCTAGTATAGCTATAGACACTTTGTAAATAGTAAACTCGATAAATAATCCTTCGACGCTGCGCGTTCATGATTCTTATTGCTAGGGGTGTGTCTCTGATTTTATGATTTTACCATCCCTTATATGGGTAGACGAGAAAAACTATGACATATGCGGACGTGTATATGGTAGCGACCGTATTGGAGGACTCAGGTAAACGTCATAAATTTCACGACAATATCAGACCCGCTTTTACGCTAATACTAATGATCTCTTGGCAGTGCGAGCCTCGAAAACGATAAACCGACACAAAGCCGACGGAAAATCGGTGAAATTGGGCAGAACGGAAGAGAAGCGCGCGTTTCAAACGAGGCCTTTACGCTCGACTGGATATTCGACGACGTTCAATGTATAATGATGGGAAATGACGGTTTACAAGCCGCTGACACCGATGATTTATTATGAATCGAGAGACTCTCGAAAGGACTTGTTGTGTTGTTGTAATTCTCAGATAATAGTGGTTCCATTGACAGGAAATAGCCTGATGATGAATAGGAGCGTTAAAAGATTTTCTAGTATAGCTCCGGTGGTTCACGGTTGTCGTTTTCTGCAATTTAAAAAAAATTCTTAGAACACGGTCACTTATGACGATTGTGTAAGGTTGATACACTTGCATATAAGAGCCATACCAATTCCGTGATAGGAGCTAATAAAGTTGCACCCACTAATTTCTAGGACCCTCAGAACGGCGGGATGTGTATAAGGGGTCGAAACTCGAAAGCCACCTACGGCGAAGGAAATACGCTTTTAGGCTTTCGGGCGTTTAGATTCCAATCTAATAAATACTTCCTTACCCGCTTTAGGGGTGAAAATTCAATGAGTTAACATTTCCGGACTGAGCCTTCTTTTGTCCTTGTCACCTGTAGTGTCACAAGGGCGTTCCTCGCGTGACCCGCATCGTAATTAATCCGTTTCTTAATTACCGCGCATTCTCTATCAGAGAGTGCAGATGGTTATTCCTTGCTAATTATTTAATCGATGATCAAAAACGTAAACGTGACGCAGGTACCTAAAAGATTAAAAGAACCATGAACCCAATTTATACGTATACCAGAAACAATACTAAAACAGGCAATACTCTATTTCATTATATCTCAAATGGCGCATTCGGCTTGATAACCACGATATAATTAATTGACGTATAGCGCAGACAATAGCGAGATAAAAGTGTCTGCACAATGCACGAAATAAAGAGCATTAAAACCAGCGCTAATGATACCAGCTGAGATTTACAACCAATCCGCGAATTGCACAGGTCGATCGATCCGCAAGCGAATCAACGGCCAATATAGGAATATTATGCTACGCTAGATGCAGTAGCCACCAGTCTGGTATACGTATACCCTATGGCTACGTTTCTCTTTCGTTTCATTTTATTATTCTTACCCCGGTGTCCTGACGTATCGCGCTAGGGCACACCCACGATATCCATAACTCACTGGGACCCCGGCAACCCGTTCCCTCAGTTTTGCAACACAATGTCGCCGGTGTGTCACTACCGTATACTTATCCCGTTGCAAGAATATATTTTTACAGCAGGAAATAGTGTCTGCATGGTACTCGAGATACACTCAATATATCAAGAGTTGAATTGGTTCGGTATAAAAATCCACTTCAGCCTTTTAGCATTGGTACTCTGCGAAAGAAATGAAAATAAAAATCATTACCTATTAGTCATGAAACGCACGAGACAATGTAAGCACAGGGGGGTTGGCTAATGAGTAATGATCATCATCCCAGGGAAAAATGATAGTGATACTCACCGGGCGGAAATTGAAGTGTACGTATGACTGGAGGTAAATTGAAAAATGTAAAAACGAGCCGGTCAAACGGCACGCTGTGATCCCATCCTTTGTGCGTAGTTCCCGATGAAACAATACACACTCCGGGTATAAATATGTTGTGCGCATCACAATAACTGCTACGTGGATGGGGTAACTTTCGTCCGAGCAAGAATCGAATGGCTTGGATGCCACGGCAGGTTTTACTTTGGTCAAAAGATAAACGTCCGATGGCTGGAACCCCTCGCTTTGCTATAAAGCAGTCACGTGTCCCCATATGAGGGTCTGTGAATAGTCTATGGTGTTTCAGAACAGAGATGGTCTCACGATGGGGTCCTAGCTGAATCCCCCTATGGCGTGATGCGATGGTGTGACTAGCAACCACCGCTCATTAACGACTAATGTGTACCAGAGGCGTATCTACGTTGTTACCTACCTGAGCTATCAAACTGGAGATTGCTTTTCCTTCTGCCATTTCGTATCCTCACAGCTTTTACTTGTATCCACGTTGTACGGAACTTCGACAGGAGTCACAATTGATTTAAGATACACTGGACATCTCGGTTGGTTGCGCGATGACACGAGGAAAAGTTAACGCAAGGGAAATGTAAACAGTATGCCACAGATCGAGGTTAGCTAGGGTTAGCTCAGGTAATCGAATACAACTTCTACTGCTACGGTAATACCAGGTAGCTGAGAACTGCCTTGCATCTACCTTAATCCTTCAAAGACGACATTATCAGGAAAAAGGTCTTTGGACACCTTTTAAAGTAGAAAAAAATGAGAGGTTCTTTACGCACTGTGTAACGACATAAATATAACGGTAGCACTGCAGCGCCGCGGTGCGAGAACTATCGCAATCAGGACATTCGAAACTGGTGGCGTTACGGTCTTAACGGTAATACAAACAGGAGTGGGATTTTTCTATGGCTTTCAGTGGCAAAGGGGGTCGTGATAACTATCGTCTCCGCGTGCTCTGATAATTTATCACCTTTTTATCGTCGGGGCGTGATTGCCTGGACGCACTGGACGCTAATTTACATTTCCTGACTTATATTCGTCGACGTGCAGTTACAATTACTGAAAAGGTACTTTCGTGAAATTTCATAAGCAGTTTGCATTAATAGCCAAGTGCACATGTACCTACGTAACTTTATATACCTATATGATTTCGTAAAAGAGCAAATAACGCGTTTCAGTATAAAATGTGCCGGATACAGAAATTGGCTCGAAATTTGAATTCAAGTAAGAAGTTTTCTCTATGAAATAATTTGACTTATGTAAACTCGTCGAAGTGTTTTTGCACGAGGAATATCAAGATTAAAAGGTATACTGCAGATCAGACGTCATTCCGTTCCGCGTGACCGGTTGAAAAATGTTCGCGATGTCCCAGTGTTCTTGCGCGTCGTGTCGTGTGAAAAATTGGTCACCGAAAATAGTGACAGCCCTCGATTTATCAATCCTGCTGAGCGGTATTCATGCGCCTGCAGAAGACGGGTATGGACAGTGGTGGTTTTGGATTTTATATATCAATATCGCCGCCATATATACGTATGTATGAAAAGGTCTGTATACGAGGGAGCCAAGGGACGGTTTTAGGTTTCAAAATGATTGGGGTGAAATTGGGGTAAGCCGATAGCCGGTATCCTGCCTTTCTTTAGCTCTCCTTTACTCTCCTCTCATATCCATTACTCTGTCCTCGTTACACTCTCTAGGGTGATCCTGTCTCTCGTACCACCGGTCAATTTGGATCACCGTATGTCAGAAAATAAAAAGGATCTCCAAACTTCAGTCTCCGACTTTGGAAACCTACTATAACGATCTTGTGTTTTCTTTTTCCTTTTTCTTTTTCCTTTGAAAGCAGCGAACAGGGTGAGCAGCAGGATTCGCTACTTCCGGTTTAAGGTTCCACCTGGGAAAATACTATGCTTCTCCCCTTCTTCTCAATTACTCCTCAACCGTTCTACGATATCCAGGAAATTCAGATTGACAGGGTGCACGTGTCCATCTTCATGCTCTCATTCGTTTCGCGCACAGCTTTCATTGGCCACCCCTTATTAGCAACCCTTTACCTAAACAGTGCGAACATCGTTCAATTAGCAACGACTGACCAGTGGTCAATGCTAGTTCACGTCGGCCAAGACGACGATCTCATCTCACGGTACTTAGGATTGTTCCAGGAGTGGCTTATCGTGACTACGTTCACGTCCATTGGTCCGTTTTGCTAAGCGCAAATAACCCCAGTCGGTCATTGTCGATCTGTTCACTATGGGAACTAACTGACCACTGGTCATTTCAGAACATCTGTGCTTACTGATCCGACAGTGAGAAGCGTGTTGAATATGGACACGTTCGACAAGAGCCTAAGTAGAGATTTCTACCACTCTTCCTTTCATAGGCAATAGCGGCTGGTGGGTAACCATACTTGAAATGGAGAGGCTGTTTTGAAGTGTACACTTTTGAGGTTAAGTGGACAACATGGCTGCGCGCTGTAGCTCGGATACACGCGGTGGGAGTAGCAGACTGAAAATTGGAGGGAAATTCAATTTCTTATGATACCCGGATGCCAGCCAATTACGTGTGATGTATGAAGGGTGCGGTCCTCGCGTATGTATATTTTTGTCATTTTCCTATACGGCACAATTTGAATGTCATTTCCATCCCGCATCCTTACCAATTTATTCAGAGCGACTCATCCGTTACCTCGCAAAAATGATTTGCATTTTTGAAAAATATTGTTTCGCCGCTCACACGCCTGCATTTTTGCAAGTCAGATACGCCAATGCTTCGCTTCCACAAATACGTAACTACACGGAGAGAATTTTTCGTTAATTTTTCCTATGAAATTCACGATAAAATTTATCGTAGAGACCAATAATCGTGGGACATCGTTACCATTTCATTACTTATTGCTTTTAACGTACGATATTTTGAGTGACTATAAATCAATTTTACAGTGCACACGGTAAAATGGCACTGCACTATAGCACAACACTGGAGTTCCGAAACGCACGCAGAAAATCGACAGGATTTTCCGGACACTGCGAGAGCAGATCGAGAATCACATAAGCAAAAATTTCTTATACCTTGATCACCTCGATCGGTGTCCCAAGACAGACTGCTTTAAAGCAATCAATTGACAATAGTCAAATTCGAGAAAAATTTCGAGAACTAAAAATTCTTTCCGTGTACGTATATACGCACGTATCTTCACGCGGGTTATATCTTCTTTGATAAATTGTTTCCTTCTTCTCCTCCAAACTTTTTCTTTTTTTCCTCCGCGTCATACCTGTCCCTCAAAAGAGACAAGTTGTCACAGTCGTATTTTTCGTTAACATTTCCATGCCTCGACTTGTGCACATATTTGTTCACGGGAGTGTCCTGTACGATGAGATTGTTTCGTTGCCTTCGGGCAAATTGAAGTTTGCATATGTGTAGCAGCCACTGTAAAATTCACAGAAGAGTAACATACGGCTGATAGAAATCATCGGCAAGCTACACATTATAACATATTCTGTATGATCTCCAGTCGTTTGATCCATATATCCCTGGACCGGTTTGCAAAGTATCAAACAGTCCTAAAAATAAATTCGTATCCCAAAATAACCAAACCAAAGACACTTTCCTATTTTCTCCAAAAAAAATAGTCAATATCAAATACCAACCATATATAAAGAGCAAACCCACCCCCGTGCAGGGGTTACCTGTTATTGTGTATCATTAAAGGAAAAAAGAAATCCATTGCTTTATTTTACAAGATATCCTACCCCTAAATTCAATTTCTTTTACCAGGTATATTTTAAGTCACATAATTTATAAGTCAGGGCTTCCCCACCCGTGGCTGTACCATATACAGGATGATTTCCTTTGAAGTAAAGTAAAGTATCTTCCAACACAAAAAAGTTATGTATTCTCTAATTTCAATAACGGATTACCAAGAATTTGCAATTACAGGATATCGCGAGTATATCAAATCTCATGACGTAATATTACGTTCGTAGATCGAGCGGCATTATTCTATTGGTCGAGGGATACCTTCGTGCCGGATGGTCATAAGAAATATTTATTTTCTCCTGGCAGGCCCCTTTTTTATCTAGATGTCACGGGGCGCTTTATTATACTCGCAAACGGCTGACTTAACCGATAGAGTCCGGATTACTCATGGCGTATAGGTACCTACTCACGGAACTACAAATTAGTCGGACATTCGCCAACTTTTTTTTTTCACTTCGGAATCTAGCGGGAATTTTACTACGGGCTGTAGCAGCTTTCAACCCTTATAATACATAGGCATGTAACAACCCCGAATGACGAGCGATCATTGCCATTCCTGGTAGTTGTGGCTGTTTACTCGCGTTGTTGAAACGAGCCCATAAAGATAAAGATAGAGAAAGTCGAGCAACCCTTCTTTTTTCAAAATGAGGTTCAGGGCTAAGTTAGACACATTATATAAGGACGGTAGAGACATACACGTTATGCGTTTAAACGTTAACTGCTTCGTGACAGGTTGGATGGAAAAATTGTCAGCCCCCTTTAACAGGCTGTTTCGTCGAGGGGTGGTTATTTCGTTAGGCAACGCAATTCTTCGGCAGGCCGATACCAACCTAACTGACTTCGGGAATGAATTTCGTTCCTGGTATAGTGAATGGAGTTAAATAAATACTAGACAGGAAACCTCTCAAGGATTGTTTGATCCTTCCCTCGAGAATTTGCCGCCCCTGGGCGCCTATGCTCGAATGCCCAGTCTTCGGCATGCAGAGCCTTACACGCGTGTTTCGGATGCCGTCTTGTTGGAATTTTGGTATACAGGATTTTTAATCACACGTATACTTTATTACGCGAGCGTGCTTTTAATATAGGAGCTATGCGATGGCTATGCATAGAGATGAGCGGTTATAATATAATAATAACAGTCAGCGCGAGATGCTTCGGCTAAAAAGTTCATCTGTAGGCAAATTGTTTAATTACTTGTGATATTGCGGGAGTGCCGCGAATTACGTAATTTCTTCGCAAGAAAGCGCATAAGTTTCCTACGACATTAGAAAAATAGAAAATACCTGGTAATTACAAAAAAAAAAAAAATGTATCATCTCAAAAATTTTATCGAATAAATTAATTTTAATAAAATATTTTCTAACATTTTTCAAAATCCTTCGATACGGTGAGAACGAAAATTTGCGATGTTACCTATATTGTATTCCCTGC